AAGGCTAAATCCTGATTCGCTCTCGATAAGCAATCCAGTAGGAAAAATGGTACCGTGTGCCGTTGGCTCGAGTTAAAAATAATAGTGGGAAATATATTTTGGATTGAAATTAAAGTGCACTTTTTCTCTGTTCAGTATCTCGTTTTACGATCTTGCCAAAAGTTTTTATCGTTGCAAAACGCAACGGGCGATTTTGGTACGCGGCAAAGTCGCGCTAAATGGTTCACAGCTGAACGCCAATAATGCCTCTAATTCGAGAATATTTATCGTTAAAACGCTCTGAATAACCGCTCATATCGATTCGCGCGCTGTTTACACGGCTCTGCCGTCGCAGCCGGTGCGACTGCCGTTAGAATGTCCATAAAATCGTGTACCGATAAACTCACCCCCGTCGCGCGCGGTGCCTCGATACGCTAATTTTCGGATATTCACCGATAATTGGCTTAATTGCGCGCCACGTCGTGCGTGTCGAATTAATCGTGCATCCCGTATTGCGGCTGTACGCGATCTAGGATTCGTAAATTCGCTCGTGAGAATTAGTACGCGCGATCGCAGCCGATCGCGCAAGTCAAATGCTTCAAAGAGAACACGTGTAAAAATGTTGTACCCAGCTTTTCCCCACGAAAGTCCGTAGATTATTTTTACGACCGTAGCGAGAACCAAAACACAAATATTCAGGAGCTTAAAGAACCTGGGGTGGCCAATCATTTCTTATTTTTAAGCGAGTTCTTCTGTTACATAATACTTCTTCAGAAACAGATGGAAGCGGTCTATTATCCCTGCATTTTTCGCACTATTCCAATTAGCCGGAACTTCCCTTCTTTTAGTTTCTTTCCCGACAACAAATAGAATACTGGTGATAAATAACAGCCCTTTTTTGCGACAAGCGTTACTAAAAGGAAAAATGAAAGCCGTGACAAAGAACGAATCCTAACTCCAAACTAACTGTAATAAAGAAGCAATACAAAGTAAAACCTTTGATCCAGCAAACGCCAACATACAGTTACGTAACATCGATATTAAAATTTATTGCGAAAAATATTACAGCCAGGGTTTGAACCTGGACTTCCGTAATGGATTATAAAAGATGCCAGATATTGTTATGCATAACAATTACATTGTTGAGTAGAAAATTATAATATTAATTAATAAGGATATTCTTCAATGCCGCCAGCAGTAATTAACAACTTCAGTGTTTTCTTGACCATATCTGGCCTTTTTAAATAATCCAGTACACTGTAAAAAAATATGTAAAATTACATACATAATAAGTGTAGCGATTACACTATCAATAACGGAAATATATAAATGTATGTACTTTTGCAAAAAAAATTTTTTTACTCTTTGTTGCGTAAATACTTGTTTATACATGATGAAAAATTACAAAAAATTGTAAAATTTACACAATCAAAAGCAAGCAGTTTACTTATACATGATGAAAAATTACAAAAAATTGTAAAATTTACACAATCAAAAGCAAGCAGTTTACTTACTGTATAAGGTAATAAATTTACTTATAAGGAGTAAATTTACTGACGTATGTGAATACACACCTTTAATAGATGATCCCAACATTACCCGCTATAATAATTGTAATTTTACACGTAATTTTTGTAGGGAAGTCCAGGTTCAAACCCTGGCCGAGGTAATATTTTTCGCAATAAATTTTCTGTATTATTAAAAATGCCGCTCTGGGAAAAATTTTGACCGTTTTTTTGTAGCTAAGCAACTTAACATTTCGGTTAGTGCCTCTCAAGTGAAAATTATCTTTGCGTTACCGAATATCGACAGAACTAATTGAGAGAATTGATTAGCATCACTTTAAAACCTTGGATATAGATAGAATAGCTGAGTGCGATTTTTAGTTACGCGTGGTAAAATTCGTCAAAGATTAGAGTTACGAACAATTCAAGTAATTCGACTACTAATTGTGGGCCCCAAAATGAGTTGCTGTCTTTTTTTTCCCAGAGGAGATATGGTCAAGAAAACACACACACTGAAGTTAATATTAATCTTATGTAACTGTTAGTTCGTGTTTGCCGGGTAGTACACTGAGAAAAATGTCCGATTAAATATAATCGGATAATCCAATTACATGATAACAAACGGATATATCCGATTAAATTGTATATCCGATGAAAAATTTGATCGGTTTTTCAATGAAATTTCATCGGTAATTGCATTTCATCGGATAAATTTTATCGGATATATCCATAATTTAATCGGAAAAATTAACCATCGAACATACTATTTAATTGGTTTATCCGATGAAAATTTTTCTCAGTGTAAGAAATAAATTAGCATAAGTGAAAAGATAAATTTGCCGAGTGAAAGAGAAACAATTCTGTAACAATATCTCGCCCCCCTCCCCCTCCTCGTTATTCTCTCGTTATTGTCGTTTCCGGAGAACGGAGGACGTTGATATCCCGTTTGATACCCCGTCGTGATTTCGCCAGCGCTGTGATTTGCGGGCCGCGTGATACGCACGGCAGTGCGGGGCTATGGATTTCGCATAAACTAACGTTACATCGCGCATGCGAGTAAATTAGTCGCTTAATCAAACCGTTTAATCAGCGGCATGATCGCGACCGCATCTGGCCGAGCTGTTCGCACCAATTATCTCCTGTCCCTCCGACCCTCCACATTCCTCTCCCTCCCTCCGTACGCGCGCAATCGCGTGCACTGACGTAACTAGAGGGCAAGGTCTGAACGCGAGATCTGGGGCGTTTTGTAAAATTCACAAAATCTATCGACGCACCGGCACCGACCAAACGACTGTAGATGATCTCTCGGTTTTTCTTTAGAGAAGAAATGTTAAACTTGGGGTAAAATGTGCACGGAAAAAAAAGGATCTTGTTGTATCAACAAGATCAGTGCAATTGAAATAAAATCGTTGAAACAACATCGGCATTAATAAATGAAAAACACCAGATTGTTGTCTTAATAATCTGGATATTTAGTTGAATGCTTAAAATTAAAATCCATAGCAAATACAATTGAGTGAATTATTTATGTTTGTGGCAGCCCGTGACGTTAACGTTTAATTCAACAGCATTTCTTCTTTCCGTGTGAAAATGCAAAAGAAGTGTAGTAGGGAAGAAACTAACGGCCTTGGATCACTTTTTGAAGTTTTGCTGTGGACCGTGTGTATTGTTGCATTGATTTACTATGTGGGAAAAAAGTAGGGTTTTTATTAGTCCCATAATAATTTTCTCCATGATTTCTCTTGACAAATGTTCCCATTTCTTTCAGTGTTCTAGCTTTACTAAAGACGGGTTATTCTTAGGATAGGTAATAAAATGCAAGGAAAATTTTCGACCCGGAAGCGAAGTCATTTTATAGTATTGTCACTTCGTTAGCCCCATTTGTCGGCTATACGGACATCGTGAGTGAATTTATGTTTTACTTTTTAATATTTGGAAGAAAGTATTTTCTTCGTGTTTCTTAGAGAAAGAATAATGTGTCCGGCAATGATAAAGCGAGGTGACAGACAATGATGACAAAAAGTTTACTGGCTATAAATTAAAAAACAGAGAGAGACTCGTAACGAAAGTAAAACGGAAATATTCTAATACGTTATTGATATACAACTTAAATTAATATTAATTAACAAATTGGAGGAAAGGCCCAATGTGAGCCTAAGCGCCAGAAGGAAGAGGCGTTATCACTTTTTATTAATGAAACACTTTAGTATCAAAAGACGTATTATAGATTTCGATCAACTTCGGATCTTTTTCAGTACTGCAAAAAGCAATCAGGTGCAAGATATAATGATTCGTCAAAATAAAAGAATAAAATCGTTTAAAAGTAAGTCAGATCGACAATTAAATTAATGTACTAAGACAAAGAGTTATTAATATACTAAACTAAAAGTGAGCCACGCTTTCTTTGTTAAGGAGGTTCGAGCGTTTGACCAAATGAAAGATAAACCTATAATATAAACATGATGCAAAAGATAATCAAACTAACAATGTACAACAGAAATTTAAATAATTTTTACCGCGTCGTTTACTAAATATTTAATTATAACGCTGTAACACTACAAATAAGAATTGCGATATTGCTGCGACATAGAATTATGAAATTTAATGATAGTAAAATTCCAGCAAATTGTAACAACGCTAAAAATATTTGCGTCACATTGCAATAAATTTAAAAAAAAATCTTCGTAATAATTGCGTTGTTTAGTTGTATTAGATTTGCAGTGTATACTGTACTGAATCCAATACTATATAGGAAGATTTTTATTGTTTAAAAGTTGTTTAGTGTATAGAAGCAATGAACGCTCTAGTAAACGACTTTTAGAAAATAGAAAATAGAAAATCTAATAAGATTCAGTACAGTATAAAGATTAGGAGGACGCATAATAATTTTGTCTACGGCTGTATTTATTTATTCCGCGTTGTAAGGCGACAAATTCAATCTCGTGCAAAATCCGACGATTCTAAATCTTCATTAACTTATAAATGTCTTTTCTGCTGATGCCGCGGACGAATCCACCGACAGGTACTTTTTGCAAAGAATATCTTGCAAAATTGCTTGGCTGAAGGAACGCGTTGAGTGACGTATCCCTCGAAATTATTGTAAATTATTGTAAAAGCCCAACGTTAACGCCTGTACCTGTACTTTTCACACAGAGATTGATCTGTGAGGAAGTTGTTGAGACAAAGGACAAAATCGTTTCCACCACAGAAGCTCCGCGTTCGAGGCTGCGAGGACGACAAGTCCGACTCTGCCGTCTCCCACCACACACAGACTGCCCCGCTATACGCCTATAACGCTCAGCTACCGACTCCACCCCTCTCGTTGGAGGGGACGTTTAGAGAGGGCGGAATAACCGAGTTATTTCCCCCACCTAGAACGCTGGCTCTAGCAGCTGAGACTTGAGAGGTGTGGTATAAATACGGGCTACTACAAACTACGATATCACAGTCATAGTTTAGACACGTGGGCTTCACCGAGTCGAGCGGACCTCGCGAGAAAAAATCAAACGAGTACTCGTCGCACATGTGATCAGTGAAACGTCCTTTCCTTTTCCTTTTTTTTTCTTTCCTTTATCGACTGCAATTTTCCGGAAAAAAAAACCGCGGACACAAGTAACCTGTGATTGTGAGTTCCAAGTGGCAGTAGAACTTCTTCGATAAGAGAAGACGGAGCAAATGTAAGTTACCGTGAGACATTAGTGTTGTAATTTTCGCGTTGACCAGTTCTAAAGCCCTGCGCGTTCGCCCTGTCTCTTCCCTCGAGAAGTTTGCGATCTCGCCTACGAATTTCCCCCTTGAAAGATTCGCGCCTGAGCGTATTCCGTTCGAGTAGGATCCCGACGTAGTGCGAGCCGACCACGTGTATTACACGCGTGCACGTGTGGTGCGACAAAGTGATTAATGTACCTGTATTTCGATTGTAAAGCGGCGAGATGAATAATAACCACTACGACGGTGAGACCACGCCGGAGGAGACCGCGGAGGAAGACAACATTGTCGTTGACCAGATGAGCTCGCAGATGAACTCGCAGATGAACTCGTCGCGCACGCTCGCCGACATCATCGGTAAGTTAAACACGTTTGCACTCTACGGGACGCTCCCTGAGTTCGTCATTATAGAGACATCACTGATGCGTCTAACGCAGCTTCATTAATCGCGCGCTTCTCGACCGTCGGAGCAATTTGCGGTACGCGTCCCCTTTATGTTCAGCTCGGGATTTTGGCCGGAGCGTCGGACTCGGCTTTTACTTGGGTCCTCTGTAAACGTGAATCGTAAGCATGACTAACCGGGACTGAACAAAAAAGTAGAAGATATATGAGACCGTGATATATCAATAGTAATGATTGTTCTTACTTCTGTACGCAAAATACACTTAGAGATACTTTATGAGGATCGTCAACCGAATTGCCGAGACGGATATAAAGGAGACCCCGTGAATGTTGCTACCTGAGGCGGGCAAAAATCAGTTGCGCGTCTTAAGCGTTTCACTAAGTTTTCTCTTCTCTAAACCCATGAAAGTTTGTTTTTGTTGAAAAACGAGATTTATGAGGGATAATTGGCCTACCTGAAGACGCCCAAAACGTGGGCGGACCGGAAACACAGATTTCTATTAAGGATCTTCTTTCTATGTCGAATATATTCAAGTGCAAAAATCACATTTTTCCATTTGCGATGCTGCGATAGCGCGAGCGAGGGACTCGATAACAGTGAATTTCGTCGTATAATTCATCCGTTTCATTTTGCGCAATCGTAACGCAATTTTGCACAATAATATTTACATGGAAGGTTTGATTTCGGAAAATGTTTGAAGAATGCAAGTGTCGCGTCCGAGCCGCGATAAGTTATTGCAGACATTAAAAAATTGGCGATAAACACGTTGAATACTTATTAATATTTCATGTTTGCGCTGTTAATTTGAATAATCTAGAGTCGCGCGCAACGTTTAATTCAGAAGGCATCAATAACGTCTAGTGAGAAATATCTTTAATGACATTTGCGAGAAAAGAGAGAGAGAGAGAGAGAGAGAGAGGGGGGGGGGCAGTTGTGACAACACAGTGAATTCCGATTCAGTATTACCGCAGCTATGACAGTGACTGTCCATTGTATTTGGCACTGAGAGAGCGAGAATGGACACCGAGAAACGATGGTGGTCTCCTTTATTATCATGTCATCCTCTGTCCTCTCATATTCGAGTTATATCAACAAGTTTTTCACGCAACTTTCATTATTATCGTGATTTACGCAGTTTTGTATTTGACCCGCAACCGCTCACCGGGCAAAATCGTAAGAGGAAGTTGTTCAATCGCAGAGAAACCGAACGGCAGTCCGAATGGATCCCTTTCGTAATTTCTTTTCTAAATTTTTTGGTTTGTCGTCCGCAAACCATTCACGCCTGCTGCTAGTTGCTTTTGACCGCATCGACCCTTGTCGCCAAGCTAAGCACGCCGTTCCTCTGTGTGACAAATTTGCGACTCTTTTGAAGAAACACCGCCCGCGTGGCATGAAGTAACGATTGATCGACACGGTCGTACAATATTGATTGTCTTCGAAAACGTGTAACGAGAAACATCCACATTGTTGCATGCTTGTAAACATGAAGACGCCTGCCGATAATGTCGGTGTGCGACAAAAAGACTGCGGTTTTGCGCCTTTTTAAGAAGCACAAAGCGGTGTTAAACAAAAGCGGATTTCCGCGGTCCTGCAACTTCGGTTGACTGCGAACACGTAGAATGTCCTCGCTAAATCCTGCCGACACTTGGAAGCCAAAGATATTTAGGAGCCCGAGACCGGGCGAAGAATAAATTGATCCGCTCACATTCTTGACGAATCTCTCGCCGAGGGGAATAAAATCGTCCGCCGTGCGAATTAACCGCGTGAAATAATTTCCAATGCAAAAACAATCTCCGAGCGCTTCGATATAGAGTCTCTTTCTCCTACGCCCTTCGAATTCGCTGGCGTGAGGAAGATTATAATGTTCATTATTGTTTCATGCAGATCCACAGATCCCGTCGACGTCTGGCATGGGTCATTCTCAGCAACAGTCTCAACGGCAACAGCAGCAACAGCAGCAGCAGCCGCAACTTTCTATAGATCCTAGCGTCAGAAGGTACAGGACCGCCTTCACGAGAGAGCAACTAGCTCGTCTGGAAAGAGAATTTAGACGAGAAAATTATGTGAGCCGACCGAGAAGGTGCGAGTTGGCTGCGGAGCTCGGCCTGCCGGAATCAACGATAAAGGTAAGGCGAAGAAGATGTAAATACTTTTGTTAAAAGTTCCCGTGATAAGTCGCGCGTTAAATATGTCGCGCTTGAAATGTTCTTCCTCCGCTCCCTCGACGATTTCGTGTATCGTTTGCTCTACTTTGTATGCTTACATATTGTTTTTATGTGAAATCTTAATTTGTTTCTTCGAAAGATGCCAATCGTTCGATCGAAAAATTCAGGCCGCAGGTAACTCTAGACAGTCATAGATGACGGAATTGTTAAAGTTGCATATAGCTTTATATTATAATATATTTGTAACACGTATTAGTATGTAAAAAAAAATATCGTAAGTGAATGAAGGACCGCGCAAGAGAGAACTGCGATATATGTCATTTTTACCAAGCATTCGAGCGGAACAATTTTCAAATATCCGTTTCGAAATAATTATCAAGATTGTTGAAAGAAATTTTGCGTAATCCGCGCAACCCCAGCGGAAAAAATTTCTACAAATAACTACAAAAATTGACTTGAAATAGAAATTTGTAGTAAATTTTGATATCTTCGTTGAAACATTAATCTTTTTGTAAAAATATCTACGAAATAGTACCACAAATTACAATGTTCTCAAATCAAGAAATTATTGCAAATGTACAATTTTGTAAAAATTAGTACAAAACTTTACTAGTTTTAAAACATTTGAGAAACAACAAAATCTTGAAGAATTAAAACATCTGCTTACTTGTAGAATATTACAAAAAGGAACAAAAGTGTTGCCATTTTTATGTTGATTTTTTTATAATACTTTTTAAATTTACGTAGAATTTCTTAGATTCCGGCAGTTGTATTTTATTTTTGTAGAATTTTGTAGAATCATTTCCGGCGGGGAAAATCGGTGACAATCTTACCGCGCAAACGTGTCTGGCACTTGCGAGCCAGCTTTCAGCCTTCGTGAAACCAGAATTACAGGAAAAAAAATGTAATGTCCAACTTTGGTCACGTGTGTTAAATAAACGCTAGATTGAACGGTGCGATCGGCCGCCGCGAGCTGATCGAGAATGAGCAAACGTTTACTCGCACGAGATTCGATAAACAGTGACTTCATCCGTGGCCGGTGCAATAACATTTTCCATTAGCGCTTTCGTGTTTGATTGAGGAATTCGCGAGGGATCATTAAGGAAATCCTTCGATCATTTAACGATTATTAATAGCAAGTATACGCTTACGCGAATTACCAAAAAAAAAGTCGCGCTTCATGCATCTTATTTCTCGCAAATATTTATCTTCTTACGTTTCTTTGTTGCCATTTATATCCATCTTCTTACGTTTCAGTGCTTCTGATATAATTTAATTTTGATTATTCTAATGCTGGTAAGCGTAAAACAATTTTAATTGTTTGTCGATCTAAAAAGTATGCAAATTTAACTATTCCGTCAAAGAATCTGTATTTTAAGGCCGACACTCGTTACTCGGCATGCGAGTTGGAAAATATAATAAAGTAGAGGAAAGTCCTCTATTATGAGATAGGTTTCTAATATAAGATAGCAGGCTTTCAACACCCTAATTCAATCACAAATCTCTTTTCGCAACGATTACGTAATCTAACAATGAATTTTCCGCTAAACAGATTTCGCTCCAAGGGCAATAAATTCATGGTGGAATCAACTGACGACGCCTATTAATTTAACAGAAACCCCGCTATCCCGTATTAGGATCCTATCTCATAACAGGGGACTTTCCGCTATATAAAAATTTGCACAATGAACCATCGGACCACCCACATCCTGCTCGGACCGTATTGACTGTATTATTTCATAAATAACAATGGCGCGTATGATACAAATCGAAGTAATCATACACTGATAAAGAAATATCTTAATCCAAAAAAATATTACTTCGCTCAAGAAAATTATTCACTAGGTGGCTCCTAATAGCTTATTAACTTAAATTTAAAAAATAACAAACAAACTAAAACATGCATTGCTTTAATTTAAGTATTTACTAAATATCAAAGAATAGATCATTTTTAATTAAAAAAATTTTATTTTAATTCTATAAAATGTTTACTACGATGTAAGTTTTACAGCGAAAAAAATTTCTTATTTAACAAAAACAGTTATTTCATTTAATAAATAGTATTCTATATCTCATGAAATCTTTATCTGAATGTAGAAAATGTAATGATTTAAATTCATTTACTTAATATAATACACAGATTTACTTGAAATTTGATATTTTTATTTAAATAGAATAAACGTTTACTTCAGTAAAAAAAATTTTAAGTAAATCTGTTTACTTAGTTTAAAATAATTTTTTGCCAGTGTAGAAGGGGCTCAGAGCCTAGACGGGGTTGTAGTGTCAAAAACATTGTTTAATTAAAATAGAAAGTGAATAGACGTTTCGATCCTAACCAGACAGTATATACCTATATGAAAAAAAAGAGATATAAATTAGCGCGCGATAACGGAATGCAATTAGTACAAGAAATGATTACTTCGATTTTTATTATTTCATACTGATGTGTTTGAATAATGTCATTATTCCGCGTGTACACATCTCCCGGTTCGATTTCTCACGGCCGCCACCGTCCGTCGTGTCCGCGAAGACCAGGGGCCTCCAAAGCCGGCCCGGCTTAATAGACGCAATTAGTGGCGTTTTTGTTCGCGCGGGGCCGCCGAGAGCTCCCGGTGGCTATTTCTTGCCGCGGCCAGCTGCGGCCATATTTGATCGGCGATTATAGCCTCGGGGGCGATTCAACGGTCGCGATTCACGGCCTTTGATCCTTCTCTCGCGTGTCCCGCGGCAGTGCCGTAACGTTGCACCCGGTCGCGACGCATCAGAGCCAGGACTCCAGGCACCTTGCGTAACGCGCCCGGTACCGCGGCGACCGTCCGCGTTAACGTCTCGACGGGGGGTGAGAGCCAGTTTAGTCACGGCCCTGATCGCGGGGCGACCGGTCGGGCGAAAGTGTTAAACGGCTCAATTAGCGACTGCCGCGCGGCCCACCTCGGACTTTAATGGATCTCTTAATTTCTCGTCTCGCGGCAGCTCGCGCTCGCCTCGGTCGGCGGGGTCGTAAAACGGCGCGGCGGGCAAACGGGGCGTGGGGGGGGCGACGGCGGGGAGGTGTTAAACGACGGTAAACGTCCCGCACGAATTACCGGTATAATCGTTCGCCGCCTCCGAGGATTCCCCGCATTGACTACATGCGTGAATCCACGTGTGACCGGGCGCTTATCTGGAAATACGCATGGCACCTACGGAATCGCCGCCGACTCTCGTCCCGTGAAACGCGGCGGTAGCTTTTATACTCTAATATTCGTTAACGGCGGGCGGAACCCCGCGTTTCGATCGGGTCCCGTAGAAACGTCGAATAAAGATGCGAACGGACACGCGGGGCGCAAGCGGAGTCGGTTCTCTTCCCGCGAATTACCGAGAGGAATTCTTGACGACCACGCGGCCCGTAATTCCCTCGTTGAACTCACCCCCGCCGGACGAAGTCCACCTTTGTTTCGCGCGTTTTACGCGCGTTCTAACGTCGCATACACATATTGGGCGATCCCTTAAGTAATGCGGTTTCTTAGAGATATTTTTGAGATAAGCAAAAAGACTCGACGTTTAAATTTGAATCCGAAATATATTTCCCAGTGCTATCTCCAGCCCGTTCCCATCTTTCGTTTTCCATTGCCTGGCGATAGCGGCCCTTCAGGTTTCGAGCTAGAGAATAAAGCTGCCCTTTGCACCGCATTATTTACGGGACGATTCAATATTTATAAAAAAACTTCGTAACGTCTTCGCCATCTACGATTTCTAATTAAAAAGGTGTGGAGAGAAACTGATTGTAGTAGAAATTAATTGCTGAAATAAAGCGCGTTAATTTGACGCAGGTGTGGTTCCAGAACCGTCGCATGAAGGACAAGAGACAGCGGATGTCCATGGCGTGGCCCTTTCCGCTCTATTCGGAACCTGCGCTAGCGCTGCTCGCGGCCGGGCTGCAGCCCATGGTCTACCCGCCCGGCGTCGCCGGGGCGGCGAACGTACCGGCGACGGCACACCTGGCACCCTCGGCGACACCGTTCTCGAGCGCGATCGCCGCTGCCGCGGCTACCTACTGTCGCTACGGGTATCACCCGTCCACGTCGTTCCAATTGCCTCGACCGACGCGCGTCACTCCGTACCCACTACCGTCCTCGCATCTGCCGCCGCCGCCGGCTCTGCTGAATATGTCCAACGTCGCCGGCCCCGCCGGCTTCCACGCGATGAGCAACCACCCACCGCCACCGACCACCCTGGCGTACCGGCCGGTGTTGCACGATCAGCACAGCCCGACGAACTCTGACACCTCGACCAGCGACTGCGTCGACTACGACAACGCGGCTTGCAGCGCGACGTGCCTGCAGCAGTCGCCGTTGCACCCGCACCACTCGGCCCAGCAACATCCGCATCTGCATCCGCATCCGCATCCGCATTCGCATCACTTGCACCACGCGCACCACGTGAGCGTGCCCACGACCGTCGCGTCGACGTCCCTGCTGCCGCAGCGGGACAGGTTCGCCATCACCGGCGACGAGATCCAGCAGCCGCAGTTGAGGCTCAACGGTATGAGCGTGCCGGTCGTAGCGGTACTGCCCTTCGAGAACAACGCGAGCACCTCGTACAATCACGTGTCGATCCCTTCGACGTCGGGGATCTCCTCGTCACCGCCCCCGTCGCTGAACAAGCCCGAGCCGGAGCAGCAGCAGCAGCCACCGCAGCCGGCGCAGCCCAAGTTGTTTCAGCCGTACAAGAACGACACCCCGGACAAGCCGGATCAAAACGGTACGATGTAAAATAGCTGCGAACGTGACTATGTGTAATTACGACGACTGATTGCAATCGTACACATCAATTATGTGTACATCTGTATATATGCATGAACGCGCTCCCTCTCAATTACCTGTTTACCGTGTTACGTCACTTCGTACACTACGCGGCTATTCTTTGCGCGTACACGGACGCGACGTTTGTACATACGTATTACGATATTCGATATCTGGGGCCGGGTCCGAATACAAGACGTGGAAAAGACCACGTCGTAGATCCGCTCTGTCCCCTAGGGACAGTTTCGCAAACGTCGGTCAACTGCTAACCGAAGGATAATTGATCCTCTTCTTAGGCCCGGTATCACCAAACGTCGCTTAACTTTAATCTTAGTTTAATTCGCGTTCGTCTCTTTCTGAAGTAACAATTGGATAGAGACAAAGAATTAAGCTAAGCTTAAAGTTAAACAACGTTGGTGAAATCGGGCCTTAGAGAACAAGGTAGAAAGAGATAGGGAGCTGAACTATGGTTAACAGTTAACCGACGTTTGTGAACTTGGCCCTTGTAGCTGTCCTCACGCGTCGGTTTTCAAATCGCACGTCGCGATAGAAGAGATGTCGCAGTTCAGGCTGAACGGTACGAGCGTGCCATAGGTACTGCCCCTTCGAGAACAACGCGAGCACCTCGTACAATCACGTGTCGGTCCCTTCGACACGTCGGGGATCTCCCTAGATTTCTAGCATCACGCGCATCCGAGACAGCCCAAGCAACACGTAAAAGACATCTTTAAGACGTAGGGTTTAAGAAAATGGCCAACCGCAGTCGATTATTCGCCTCACGTTCGATTGCGCTAGGTCCCTTTTTACATTTTACGTCTTAAAGATCTCATTGTAGACGCCGCATTAGATGTTTCAAAGATGACTTAAAGACGTCTTAAAGATGTCTTTTAGACATGCGTATGGGAGTTCTTTTTTTTATTCGCGATATATTGCATATGAACATGTATTTTAATACGTTTGTAACGTGGTGAGTTACAGCAAGCAAACACTCATCAAACACTTCCTTTGCTGAGTTGAACGCGTACAACTCTGTTGAAAACTTGAGAATTGGGGACAGTTAGATATTTCGATAATTGAGGAGAGCGCGTCGTGCCGGACAACCGAAGTGACGGTCCGTTCACAGCAGGGTTTTGTTCCGATTGCAAGCGTCACGCTGTTGTACGCTTCAAGTAGGACGTGTCTTGGCCTCTGACCGCGAGTACATCTCCGCGATCCCGGATTTGTACGCTCGCACAATCAAATTCTCACGTCGCTCCTTGAAGTACCGTGATATAACACAGGGTGTACACGCACGATACATCCGTTAATTAATTTTCCGTAAAGATAGATCGAGCCATTTTAAGAAGTTTGTAAATTTCTTATAACGGAATGAATGTATACGTGCGCGCGCGCGTACGTGTGCGTGTAAGGAAAACACGTGCCAGATCAGAAAGTTTTTACAACGTTTTTAGGATAAATAGATAGCATGGAAAGACTTCAAAAAATGCCCAAAAAAAAATTAAAAGAATTGACAGAAGTCGCAAGAAGAGAAATGGAGAAAAACGAATGATTATTGTACATAAATATGTATTTTAATATATTCACGACATAATGAGCTGCATCGAGCAAAATTTCGTTAGACACTTCTTTTGCTCGGTTGAATAAGTGTATGTTTACAATGCTTTTATACAATTTCTTAAATTTATTTATTATATTTACATACCTTTCACGGAGTGAATGTACCGTAAGTAAATATAATATAAAGTTTCTCTCATTATCAACTTTCATCACCATCGATATTTCTTTATGCATATTTGTTACCGCATATAATTTCATTTCTTTTTCCTTCATTGTTTTCTTATTAGTTATTAGTGCGAAAGTTATTATTAGGATGTTTATGGAGAGCCACTGCTCTCTGTTCCACGATTTCGGAACCAGATGAAGTATAAATTTCTTTAGTCGTTTATTTTGGCGGGTGTTTTTTTTTATAACATCGTAAGGAGTCGGTAACACCTTGATAATTAAACCTGGAGACAAGTGTATCACTCTTATGGCCCATTTTTTCACTTCCCGATAAAATTATCAGGAGATTAATCAAGTTTTGGCCAATCACGTGCATGGATCTGGTAGTTATCTCCCGTTTAACTTTAACCGTAACATAACTGGATGTGAAGAAATCGGGCATTAGTGTTTTAATTTTTTTTTAATGCAACTTTATTTCTGATTACTTATGCTGTTCGTTCTATCGAACCATTTTACCAATTACGCTGATCTGGCACTTATCTTTTACGAAAAATGATGAGAGCGACGACGCTTCTGACGCACCCTCAACGCGCCATTCTTCATTTTCTTCTAAACTCTGCACCTTGCCGTGAGATATTATACGTAACGGTATTGTCATCGATATCTTACTACTGCGCAACGAAAACCTTCTCCGAGGAAATGAAGAGCCCAAGTTAGAAGCTTGGGAATGCGGCGAAAAACAGGAAGCGATTTTTATTAATTCCTTGACTTTATTTCCTTACTTTTATACGCGACTAGGAGGGCATAGGTTCGTGTAAAAAAAATCGTTATTATAATCGGCGAAGAGTTTTTAACGAATTATGAATGTCGTTATATAGTTCGAATAAAGAGCAAATTAAGCAAAAACAATATGCACGTTTCTTAATTGAACGCGGCGCCTCAGGTCAATCCTTTCCGCATTCACGAGATCCCATTGAAAATCCCGAAAATATCGTTAACTGCATTCTGACACCATGCGATAACTTGATACGACGAACAAGGTCGCAATGAAAGCCGAATAAAAAAGCGCGATGGAATACGACGCCATAATCGTACAAGTAAGTACAATTTAATTACAACTTTTATTCTGTCTTTCGTATCAGATAACTCGCGCAAAAATATCTACTTTGATAAACAGACGCTTATGAATTATTAATATAATTTACAATTTTGTTCTCTCTATCTCCCGAGCCATTTCCCTTCGAGCGACTGAATATCGCGCGAACAATAAAATACCCAATTTATATTAAACGTAAGTCACAATGCGCTAAATTGATCAATTTTTATAAGCGTTTCTATATTTTGGTTTTATCGCAAACACGAGTGTTGCATTAATTTCGTTCGTATTACGACTCGATAGAATCTTTCGCCGATTATGCCTGGTACAGTTATAGTTCCTGTGCAATTGAATGCAAGTTTTAAACGTAATGCGGATTCCAGTACGCGTGTGCACGTGTGTGTGCCTTTAGAGAAATCTTATACAGAACATCTCAAAGTGTACTCATTGTCAGTTTGCGTGCCAGGCGTATTAAGGGCACTTGCTATCGAAATAACACGTCTAATTCGTCTTTGCCCCCCCCCCCCTTAGCGGCGCGCAGCGATATACAATATATTCAAGGGCTAATTAACCCTTTCACGACCAAATTATTTTTTCTTTATTATTATTGTTATTTTAAGTAACCCAGTGAGAAATGATTCGTCGAAACGACGTGGAATCGGCATCGACCCTGTCAAATTCGACGTCGATTCGTCAATCTGACGGTGTCGATGTCGAGGCGATGTCGAATCGACATCGACCGAGGAGTCTCTCACCAGTCTAGCATCCCAAGGAACCAAGGGAGACAAAAAGTTCGAAGTGAGACTACGTCCCAGTGGAAGGGTTAAATTGTCCGTAATATTCCTTCCGTTAATACCACGTGATCGGGCAATTTGCAAAAACGACGCCAGGACGGACTCGCCGCGTACGGGACGGTTCGCGTAAAGCGGGAGACTCCGCGACGCCATTTTGCCGACAATAAAATATCCCGGATGCCCGGGAGTTGCCTCTCTTATCTTTCCTATTATCGATAGCTGGCCGTGGACCAATATGGCCACGGCAGCGGTTGCCATGGCTACATTCGGTATCTCGCTTCGGGACGGGGGCCCCATCATCCGCGCTATTATCGCGCTTCGCCGTAAATAAGGAGGAGGCACTCTCCCCCATCCCTCTTCGGAGGAACGATTTCGGAGCGCACCGCTCGCTCCTTCTTTCCCGCGACTGTGCGCGGGGATGAGGCGAGACGGTTCCGTCTCGCGCCCGCACGATATGTCGCGCACGATTGTTCCAGGTTGAGCGAACGCGGGCATTTTCAAGGGTAGAGACTTTTTCATTTCGGTGAAATTATTTCTAACATTTATGCCTCGAGAGAGGCAACGCGCGTTGATCGGCACGAAACGCGATGAGAACGCGACATGCGCGTTGTTGGGTGAAAGAAAAAGGAAGCGTGACACGATATCATAAAGCACGCGGCGCGATACTTTTACGGGATAAACGAATGTTCTCATGGACGGCGAATGGCAAATGGCCGATCAATGGCAAAAGCCCGGGCGCTCGTGGACGGAAGGATCGAGCAGCGATGATATCGCTGACGAGAGTCGCCGTATTGGCTGCCACCCAGCGCAAGCAATTCGGTCGGTCGACGAACGATAAGCCCACCATCGTGACCCTCCGTCTCTCTTCCCCTCTCCCTTTCTTTCGCCGGCGTTCTCTCTTTCTCCTCTTGTTGTACAGCCGCGAACATACGCTCGAAGGACAGCCCCTTCGAGCCACCCCGGGGTGGCCGGTGGGGTTCATCCGAGATACAAGGGAGATAAGGAGACAGAGCGCCGTAACACTCGCACGTGGCCCATCGCGCCACGTCGAATCGATGCATCTTGCCGATCGGCCGACCACCGGGGTAGAACATCTCCCCGCGTCCTTGACACAATATTTTGGCATGGCCGGGGGATAATTTCTCTGACAAGGTAGATCAATAGTCGAAATAGGGAAATTATCGCCGAATGCGCTTCGTATTCTATTGGAACGTACTCTATCGAAAATAATCGTGCAAAATTCTACAAAACATATAAAATATAACTGCCAGAATCTAAGAAATTCTACGTAAAAAGTGTGATAAAAATCAACATGAAAATGCTAGAATTGGAACACTTTTGTTCATTTTTGTAATATTACAACAAGTAAGCAGATGTGTTAATTCTTTGAAATTTTTAAAACTAGTAAAGTTTTGTACTAATTTTTACAAAATCGTACATTTGCGATAATTTCTTGATTTGAGAACATTGTAATTTGTGGTACTATTTCGTAGATACTTTTACAAAAAAATCAATGTTTCAACGAAGATATCAAAATTTCTATAAATTTCTATTTCAAGTAAATTTTTTGTAGACATTTTTTCCGCTAGGGAAGAGAGAAAGGAATCCATTTCGTTTTGTCCCTGCTACATTCTGATTTTACGGATTTCTGTTCTAATGCGAGGGAAAGCATTGTGGAGTGTCTACTAGTTATATCAAATTACTATTTACTCCAGTCTTCGAAAACACTATCCATTATTATTGAGGCGA